TTATGAACCTCAATCCCGTCTAGTCTAATAGACTGTATCTCAGTATTAAGGAGGCATTTGGTACACTTGTCAGTACAGTGGAGCTGGAGGAACAGAGCAGCTCAGGCAGCATCAGAGTAACAGGAAAGTTGAAGTTTCAGGTTTATACCCTTCATCAGGACTTGGTGGGGGGGAAAAGGTCCTCCTCTGCCCGGGTCATGTGCAGTGAAGATTACATGTCGGCTGCTGTTGGACAAAGTGACACTCACATTGAGGTTCCGGTCCCATATCTGAATAGAACCATCCTGACACGCAGCTGCGATTAACTTGCCATCCCTGCTGTACACACATGTGGTGGGAATGACTCGCTTCCCTTGCATAGAACGTGGCTTGAAAACACTCTTGTGTTTCTTCTCAGTGTTCATATCCCAAGTGCGCACTGTTCTGATAACAAAGAAGGAACAGTTAGTCACATCTCCTTCCCCACTCTACTGCAGCAGTGATATTAGCATGAATACCATGACACTACTCCACAGGGGCAATGATATTAGCAGTAATTCCCCTACACGACTCTACTGGAGCAGTGACATTAGCACTGAACACCTCACTATCCCACTGGGGCAGTGATATTAGCACTCATGTCCCTGCATCATACTGACCAGAAGCCCAGAGTAGGAATGCCATGTGAGGCTCAAATGTAGTAATAGGGAGCTGGACTATACTGACAGACATTGGGTAGGTGATAGCCAAGTGTTATCATCACGTTTGAATCCTGCTATGGTAGATGGTGGAATGTGAATTCAATAATAATCTGGAATTAAGAATCTACTGATGAGCATGAAACCATTTCCAATTATCAGGAAAACCCATCTAGTTCACTAACGTCCTTTAGAGAAGGAAATCTGCCCTCTCGACTGGTCTGGCCTACATGTAACTCCAAACCCACAGCAATATGGTTGACTCTTAACTGCCCTGAGTAATTCAGGGAATAAATGCTGGCCCAGCCAGTGACACGAAAAATCCTATCAATGTGTTAAAAAAGATTGAGACATTCAATGAAATGGTAACCCAAGATAAAATGTAGTCTTTTAGCAAAAGCTTGTCGGGTAGCAATCTCACCTCAGAGACAGGAGACACGGGTTCAGAACCCACTTCAAAGAATTGAGACCTGGCAAATTTGATCACTCTCCCAAGAACAGTGCTGATCAACTCCAACACCCATCAAAATCAAAGGATCAAAGAATAGAGGGGGTTGACAGAAAAATAGAAGCCACTATCAGATCATCTATCCTTATCAAACAGAAGAGTAGGCGCAAGAGAACAAAAGAGTTGCGCTATATTTGGGTTAGAGATTAAGAAGCGACCAGGTGCAATTATGCACCAAGATTTCATTGAAAGATCTCAGTAAACAAGAGAAAATGTGGCAGAGAAAGCCAGTGTCAGTGTGACAGTAGATCTGAATAATTGAATAGCTAACCCAGAAGAGGCAGGGATGGAGGAGTAAGTGCTCATGCTTTGGGGCCTCACATTCATCTGCTGAATTGGGTTGATCTCCCATCAAACAGGGCCTTGGCATCCAGCTGCCTGTGTTTCCACCTCAAACCTGCATCAGGAAGCAGTTGTCCCAATTCCAGCCCACTCTCACCACTCTATCATGAAAAGAGTGGAAGCAGGCATTGCCAGGAAAGAGGAAGTATCACAAGGGCAAGAAATGGCCCATTCATGATTCCCACCTCCAGAATGTAAATCCACTCCGCATATTCCTCAAAACTTATATCTGTCTATATTTGTCTTAATAGAAATGCATTAAAAGAGGTTGCAGCAATTCATAAAGGGAACAGAAGAACAGGATCGAGCCATTTAGCCCTTCAAGCATATTCCCTTGTTCAATTAAGATCATGAAAAATAGGAACAAGAGGCCAATCGATGGCCGAGCCTGTATGACCATTCAGTATGATCATAACCGATACAACATTCCCCGTATCCACTTTCCTGCCCTCTCTCTCTATTCTCCTCCTGATCAAGAATCCATGTCAGCCTTAAAAACACACAAGAACTCTGCCCACTCAGCTGTGTGTGGCAAGGAGTTCTAAAGGCTCACAACTCAGAAGAAATTCCTCCTTATCTCAGTCTTACATTGGTACTTCTTTATTCTGAGGCCATGCCATCTGGTTAGAGACTCTCCCATGACCGGAAACATCCTTTCAGTATTTACCCTGTCAAGCTCCTTAAGAATCTTAAACGTTTCAATGAGATCACTTCTCATTCTCCTCAACTCCAGTGTGTAGAGACTCAACCTGTTTAGCCTTCACTCATAAGACAATTCCTCCATACCAGAGATCATCCTAGTAAAGCTTCCCTGAATTTCCTCCAGTGAAATGATATCCTTCCTTAAATACTCCAGATGCAGTCTCACCAGCATCCTTCACAGTTGCTCCAAGACTTCCCTACTCTTATACAGCAAACCCTTTGAAATAAGGACCAACATTTCATTAGCCTTCCTGATGACCTGATGTACCTGTGTGCTAGCTTTCTGTGTTTTGTGCACATGTACCGCCAAGTCTCTTTGTGTTGCTGCTTCTGCAGTTTTTTTTTAATTTTAAATCATATGGTTCTTCTGTTCTAAAAAAATCCTCAGAACTGTGGATGCTTGAAACAAAAACAGAAATTGCTGGAAAGACTCAGCCAGTCTGGCAGCATCTGTGGAGAGAAAACAGAGTTAACATTTCAAGTCCAGTGACCCTTTTTCGTTCTGACCCTTAATTTGTTCTCCCTTCCGAAAAGTAAAACTTCACATTTTCCCAACTCAATTTGCCAACTTTTTGCCTCTTAATCAACCTATCAAAATCTCTTTGCAAATTGTTTATATCACTCACACAAATCGCTTTTCCACTTATTTTTGTGTAGAACATAATCTAACCATCACCCCGTCACATTCAATGACACGACCACTCAATCTTCCATTATCAAAGTTAGGATTACTATTTTAACAAGAAACAGAACTGAATCGGCTCTCTTTTGAAACCTATGGAATCCGCTCTCCCAGGCAGCACATTCCAAAACCTGACAACTCTGAGTCAAGAGCTGCTCCTCATCTCACTTCTCGATCTTTTACGGACAATCTTGAAATTGTAAACACTCATTACTGATTTACCAACTAGTGGAAACAGAATATCCTTTATCCTATCAAACTTGGAACACCTCAATAAGGTTACCTCTTAATTTTGTCTGCTTCGAAGAGAATAAGCCCAATTTCTCCTACTCTTTCCTTGTATCTAAAATCCTTCATTCCTGATATCATTCTAGTAAATCTCCCTCGCACTCTGTCCAAGGCTTTAACACGCTTCCTATAATAAGGTTCCCAGAACTTAATATAATACCCAAAGTGTGGACTGAACAATAATTTGTAGAGGTGTAGCATCAGTTTAGACCATAAGACCATAAGACATAGGAGCAGAAATTAGGCCATTCAGCCCATCGAGTCTGCTCCGCCATTCAATCATGGCTGATAAGTTTCTCAACCCCATTCCCCCGCTATCTCCCTGTAACCCTTGATCCCCTTGACAATCAAGAACCTATCTATCTCTGTCTTAAATATACTTAATGACCTGGCCTCCACAGCGTTCTGTGACAGTGAATTCCATAGATTCACCACTCTCTGGCTGAAGATGTTTCTCTTTATCTCCGATCTAAAATGTCTTCCCTTTACTCTAAGGCTGTGCCCTTGGGTCCTAGTCTCTTCTACCAATGGAAGCATCTTCCCAACATCCACTCTATTCAGGCCATTCGGTATTCCGTAAGTTTCAATTAGGTCCCCCCTCATCCTTCTAAACTCTGTTGAGTATAGAACCAGGGTCCTCATATGTTAAGCTTTTCGTTCCTGGGACCATTCTCGTGAACCTCTTCTGAACCTGCTCCAGGGCCGCTACATCCTTCCTGAGATATGGGGCCCAAACCTGCACACAATACTCCAAATATGGCTTGACCAGAGCCTTAGAGAGCCTCAGAAGTACATCCCTGCTTTTATATTCAAGTGCTCTCAAAATAAATGCCAACACTGCATTTGCCTTCCTAATTATTGATTCAACTTGCAAGTTTACCTTGAGAGAATCCTGGACTAGAAGTCCCAAGTCTCTTTGCACTTAAGACTTCTGAATTTTCTCCCCATTTAGAAAACAGTCCACGCTTCTATCCTTCTTACCAAAGTGCATGACCTCACACTTTCTCACGTTGTACTCCACCTGCCACTCCTTTGCTCACTCTCCTAACCTGTCCAAATCCTTCTGCAGCCTCTCCGCATCATCAATACTACCTGTCACTCCACCTATCTTTGTATCACCTGCAAATGTACCCAGAATGCCCTCAGTTCCTTCACCTAGATCATTAATGTATAAAGTGAAAAGTTGCGGTCCCAGCACTGACCCTTGCGGAACACCACTTGTCACCAGCTGCCATCCTGAGAAAGCCCCTTTTATCCCCACTCTCTGCTTTCTGCCAGACAGCCAATCTTCTATCCATGCTAGCACCTTGCCTCTAACACCATGGGCCCTTATCTTACTCAGCAGCCTCCTGTGCAGCACCTTGTCAAAGGCCTTCTGGAAGTCCAGATAGATAACATTCATTGGCTCTCCTTGGTTTAACCTGCTCATTACCTCCTCAAAGAATTATAACAGATTTGTCAGACATGACCTCCCCTTGATGAAGCCATGCTGACTTTGCCCTATTTTACATGCACTTCCAAGTATTCAGAAATCTCATCCTTCACAATAGACTCTCAAATCTTACCCATGACCAAGGTTAGGTTAATCGGCCTGTAATTTTCTGTCTTTTGCCTTACTCCCTTTTTAAAGAGGGGTGTCACGTTATTGATTTTCTGGTCTTCTGGGACCCTCCCTGAAAGATCACCACTAACGCCTCCACTATCTCTTCAGCTATCTCCTTAAGAAATTCTTTTTAGAAACTGAAAAAAAAGGGGCTGCACAGTAGCTCAGTGGTTAGCACTGCTGCCTCACAGCACCAGGGACCTGGGTTTGATTCCAGCCTCGGGCGCCTGTCTGTGTGGAGTTTGCACATTCTCCCCGTGTCTGCGTGGGTTTCCTCCGGGTGCTCCAATTTCCTCCCACAGTCCAAAGATGTGCAGGGTAGGTGTATTGGCTCTATTAAGTTGCCCATAGTGCTGAGGGATGTTTAGATTAGGTGGGCTAGACAAGGGATATGTAGGGGTAGGTGAATGGGTCTGGGTAGGATGCTCTTCGGAGGGGCAGTGTGGACTTGTTGAGCCGAATGGCCTGTTTCCACACTGCAGGGATTCTATGATTCTATGAACTCTGGGGTACAGTCCATCTTGTCCTGGTGATTTATCCACCTTTCGGCCATTCAGTTTTTCTAGCACCTTCTCCTTGGTGATGGCCACCGTACTCAAGTCTGACCGTGTCCCTCTTGAA